AGGTGCATCTCTAGCAGGGCCAAGGAGGTGATCCTCCCCCTCTATGCAACACTGGTCAGGCCACAGCTGGAATACTGTGTCCAGTTCTGTGCACCCCACTTCAGGAGGGGTGTGGACAACACTGAGAGGATCCAGAAGAGGGCCACCCGAATGATCCAGGACTACAGGGCAGACCCTACAATGAGCAACTGCAGGACCTGAACCTGTTCAGCCTTCACAAGAGAAGGCTGAGGGCGGACCTGGTGACAGTCAATAAACTCACTAGGGGGGACCAGAAGGGTTTGGGAGAGACCTTGTTTTCCCTAGCGCCCCCTGGCATAACAAGGAATAACGGCCACAAGTTGTTGGAGAGCAGGTTTAGAGTAGACATCTGTAAGAATTACTTCACAGTTAGGGCAGCTGGGACCTGGAACCAACTTCCAAGAGAAGTGGTGCTGGCTCCTACCCTGGGGGTCTTTAAGAGGAGGCTTGATGCCTACCTAGCTGGGATCATTTGAGCCCAGTTTTTTCTCCTGCCCTGGCAGGAGGTCAGATTTGAAGATCTATAAAGGTCCCTTCTGACCCTACTTCTATGATTCTCTCTCGGTAATTATTAGACAGCAAGACTAATGGGTTTAATTCAGTAATTGGAAAAACCACTCCGTTCCTGCTTTATTAAGAAAAAACCTTTTGTTAATGTACAATAAAGTTGTATTTTTCATTCCCTTCTAGAATATTATTCCAAAATCCAAAACAAATTCTAGTTGACATTTCTCTAAGTTTTTGTTTTCTTTCTTTTTCTTTTTTTTAAAAAGAAGGAAATTTTAGGGGGAAAAAGTCTTTGAGAATTAAATGTTAGGAATATAATCAAAGAAACTCATTAGAATATTATTGCTTAAAAATCTCTAAATCCAAAAAAAAAGGATTTTTTAACAAGTTTTCAATTAATCCACATCTCAATTCAATTTCAGCTTATAAATGAGAGATTTCCTATCCTATCCTGACTGTTTTGATTTGGCTGAAGAATGGGACTTCTTGAGCTCCTTTCCAGACCTGTTTTACATTATTCTGTGATGCCAGTGGATTGATTTATTGCTCCGTGTAATTAAAACATGGACAGAATCACTTTCTGAATCTGCCTGGTATCTACATGCAAGGCCTCATAACGTAAAGATTTCAACATACTCAGGAGGTCGAGTGTCTGGGCCAAGGTCCCGATGCAAAGAAATCCTGTCGCTTGCAAATGCATTAAAGCAGTGTTTTTCTTCTCCCCGCTCTTTCTCTTTTTGTTCTTCTGGACTTAAATTGGTAGTTTTAAATGCTTTACCAGAAGCTCCAGGAGCATGAGGGTCCTGAGGAGGTCGATCTAGAAAAGGTTTCAGTTCCGCTGCTGTATAATAGCCTGGTAAACAGTGTCTCTCTCCAGGAATCTTGGTTTGCCTAACAGGTGCTTTTATCTGCATTTTTGGGTTTGCAGCTTTAATATTGTTCACAGCATTTAACACAAGGTCCAGCACATTACTTTTCTTTCCCACAATGGGCTTCATCCCTGGTTCATTTTCAGTGTCTTGAACACCTACTTCTCTTTGCAATAAGAATAAACATATTAGAAAAACAAAAATAAAAATGCTAAACTTCCAAAGTTTCCAGTGGGAAAACAGTCTCTTTAACTGTCGTCTTATTCTTTTGACAGCCATTCTAATATTAGAAATGTATCACCCTTACAGAAGCCTCTACTGAAGACGATCCTTAGCATAGAATTGGTTACAAGAATATTTCTTGAAATGGTAACACCTGCAAAAAATGAAAAGGCATTAACAAACACAGAATGTTCTATAAATGTACACTACATTTCAAAATACAAAATTAAGTGCAACTGTGTAATAAATTTAATAGGTTCAAATTAAAGTTAGAAAATGACATAATTAAGGTTGCCTAAAGTTTTTTTTGAGTGCTTCACTTCATAAATTCTTGTCTGTCTAGTAATACTTTGGGTAAAATTAGACAAACATTGTTGTAACTGTGTCCTGTAAACAGGACCTTAGTTATCCTAGCTTCAGTTATAGTGAGTAGGAACAGTTTCTAATACCTTCCTCCTCACAAACTATGCATGTTTATTTTACGCTAGATTTGCACAACTTCACGCTAAAGTCCAAAATAACAACTCAATTCCCCCCTTCTTCTCTAAAAGGTCCTCTTTTCACCCTGTAGTCTCAGACTGGGAAAGCCCATTGCAAGTGTCCAGGGGCCTTCAACTCATCGCAGCTCTGCTGCACCTGGGTCTTAGGGCTGCGCAAAATTTTGATGGGTGTTTAGTTTCGAAGCTGTTTCAACGTGTTTCGAGCTTGAAACAGCGAAATCAAAATGAAACAAAAGGCCTCAAAACAGCTTTGAAATGAAGTGAGGGCTTCAAAAGTTTCAAAATATTTTGAGTTTTGAAGCAGCCCGGTGGCAGGAGGTGGGGGACAGCCATAGTTGTTCTCCAAGTGGCTCTGCCAACCCCATGGAGCACAGCTTGGTGGCGGGACAGCCAGTGGTGGAGCCGCTTGGAGCACAGCCCTGGCCCTGAGCACAGTCCTGGCCAGTGGCTGTCCTCCACCTTCTGCCCTCAGGCTCATCTCTGTGGGGCTGTGGAGCCTCCCACCGCTGGGCTGTGCTCCAATTGGCTCCACCATTGGCTCTCCCGTTGCAGCACCCTGTTATCCCATGCACAGATCTGGGGACCTGCACCCTTGGGAGGAGTCCAGCACAGCCCAACAGTCCTCCCAGGGCAACAGGTCCCCAGATCTGCACATAGGATGACGTGAGGCTATTGCTGCCAGCAAGTGACACAAGTTTTGCTTTTATAGCAGTTTGAGGTGCAGTTTCCCAAAAACCGCTGTACCTATCTCCTTGGAACTTGGCAGACTTCATGCCCTCAAAAGGGGCTACTATCCCTGCACTTTGCATCTAAATCAGGCAATACATGACGAAGTTCTAGGCATTTTCATGATTCCCCATTATAACCTATTACATATACAGTGAAACAGTTTTGACAAAAAAATAAATAAATAAATAAAAAATGGAACAGTGCTTCGAAACTAAACAAAATGATGAAATGAGATACCGTCCCTTTGAAACAGCAAAATGGAAGTTGAAACGAAACAGTGCTGTTTTGCACAGCCCTACTGGGTATTCAGCTTTCCACCTTGCCCCTCATTTTCATCTAAACGATTACCAGGGATACTGGTTTTCCCCAATTTAAAAAAAAAAAAAAAACCAACAAAAAACCCAGCCCTCAGCAGCTTGCTAATGGCTGCTGAAGGGCTGAGGAAGGGACAAGGTTCCCACACGCACCACATCAGCTTGATGTTGCCAATGCGATGCAGCTCCTCCCCTCCCCCCTCATTTCACCATGTCCCTTCCTCACCCCACCCCTCCTTCCTCATTTGCATGCTGGCCCCACCCTGCGCCAGTCCCCGCCGGCTGCATGGGCTGGAGCAGGTCACAGTGTAGCGGGCAGGCAGGAGCAGGGGGCGCAGATATCAGCTCAGAGGGATGCTGTGGCCGGGCCTGTGGAAGATGCTGCCGCTGCTGTGGCTGTTGGAGTGGGAAGTCGGCTCCACTCCCACCTCCCCCTGCGCTCGCAGACATTGCACTGGGGGTGGTAAGTCATGGGCCCCGGGGAGGGAGGGACTCCTGCCGCTTGGGCTCGGGCTGACCTGGGGGGGCGGGGGAGGGAGCAGCGGGGTGTCCCTGCACATCCTGCACCCCCCCTGTAGAGTCCCCACATGTCCCCGTGGCTGCTGAGCCCAGGTGCACAGGTGTGGGAGCATCCTTGAGGCTGCCCAGGTGGCAGGGAGGACATGGTGGGGTCAGGCGGCACCCCTTGACCCCTGTGCCCCCAGGCCACAACTGAACCGGACAGGCTGCACGAGTGCCCGCTCCTGCCAGCCCACTGGGTGATAAAAAGTTCATGATCTGGTCCCACATTCAAAAAGGTTGGACACCACTGATCTAGACATACATATACACATACATCATCTAGACATACATATATACATCAACATATACACATACACACACATATATGGCAGCCCGGAGAGCAGCTCCCACAGCTAAGTTGGGGGAGAAGCGATTGAGGCACCAATAAGGAGGGAGGCGGGGGATGGAGTTGTGCAGGACTGGGGCTGGGGCTGCTGCCCACCAGGCAATGTGGGAGACTTGACCCCAGGGCTGCAGTGCTTTGAACACAAATGTTTTATTGATATATTTACAATTTTAAAGCAATTTGGAAGCCTACCAGTGCCTCAGTCACAATAGTAAAATAAATTCTAAATACCTATACATTTTGGTATTTGCTTTTGGGGTTCATCAGGGAAAAATCAGTTCCCCCTGCCCCCTTTGCCCACCAGCATATAGCTCCAGGCCCTTTACTCTGCCCCTGCCAGTGCCCCTTGCCTTCTACCCATAGCCCCCTCTCCCCCAACACTGCTGGAGTGGACACTCATCTACCAAAGCTACCGGGCCAGGGACCCAGATTGACAGCCCCCTGCCCCCCACAGCAGCACCCAAGCTTTGACTGTTGCCTGTGGGAAACAGCAGCTGCTGCAGCCTGAGCAGGGAGCCCAGCTCCCCCCATATAGGCAGCACAGCCAGAGCAGAGCCCATGCGGGGGGGAGGGGGTGTGGGCTGCGGGCTGCCTCCCCACTGCAGCATGCACTCCTGGGAGAGTAAGGGGGACCCGTGCCTCCCAGATACATGTGTGGGACAGGGGCAGGCTGCCTGCTCCAGGCTCCCCACCCTGCTGCCCTCCCCCAAGGCCTCTGCAGCCCAGTGGGCTGGACCCAGCATGGCAGGACAGGGAAGCTTGTTGCTGCAAGCACTGCCTACCCCGGTCCTGCAAGGGTCACAACCCTGCTCCGCCATCCCTGCTGCTGCTGGATGGGAGGGGCACCTCATCAGGGCAGCATGGTGCTTGCAGTGGCAGCAACAAGATTTCCTGCCTGGCCCCACTCTGCTCTGCTGTGCCAGGTCCCACCTGCTGGGCTGAGGAGGCCCTAGGGGAGGGCAGCAGGGCAGGGAGCCTGAGCCCACAGAGAGCAGCCCTCCACTGCCCCACGCACAGATACCCCTGCCTCCCCCAGGAGTGCACACAGTGGTGAGGAGCCAGCCCCACCCCACCCCCATTCCCCAGACAAGCCACCCATAGCACTGTCCCATCCCCTGCTGGGGTCCTGTAGCCATGCACTGTTGTCTTGGGCCCCAAGCCCCCCACACCACCTGGTGGGCAGCACCCCGGTCCGAGCCCTGCACGACTTCATGCCTCCCTCCTTATGGGGGCCTCAATCCCTCCCCCCCCCCACAACTTACCTGTAGGAGCTGCTTTCCAAGCTGTCAGGTGGCTGTTTATGCATGTACATTGCACATGGTATCCCCTGCCTGACTGCCCTCCACCCACTTACCATAGCCCCTTACAGGCTGGTACTCTACCAGCCTGCAGAGAGCTCTCTGTGAAAGAGTAAAATCTGCGTGTTTCTCTGTCAAAATGAAAAATCCACGTTTCTTAGGCAAAAGGGAAAATACAGGTTTTTTTCTGTGGGAAGTGGAAAACCCAGATCCCTGATGATCACTGACCTACTTTTCATTCTCTCAGCTTCATTTGTGGAAATGCAGCAGATCTAGCTAGTCTCTCTCTCCTCAGGAAAACAATGAATCCTTACCTTCTCTATATTCCCTCTATTGAGGAAACCCTTTTCTCCCCATAAACAAAATTTTGAATCACCATGATCTAACAGATTATTAGAGTTTTTGAGGTTCTGGCATTAGAGGACAAAGGAATCATAATAAGATGATGATTTAGCTCAACAGTGTTATCCACTGCCTAACGGGGAATACAATGAATTGTTGTTCTAAGAAAAACCCTCCTGTTTTCAAAGCCAAGTATTACAACATTTAATTAATGCAAGCAAAAACTAAGGGTTCAACAACCAACTAGCATGACTGGGCAGTTAACATTAGGGGCTATAGGCTGTACAGGTGCGATAGAGAAGGTAAGGGCGGGGTGGCAATCTATGTCAAGGAGCACTACACATCCTCTGCCAGCAAAATGGGGTCAGAGGAAGGGCAAGCTGAAGTGCTCTGGGTCAAGATTCAGGGGGGGCAGGGGGAGAGGGATTTGACGGTGGGGGTCTACTACAGACCCCCCAACCAAGAGGAGGAGCTGGACAGGGAATTTTCAGGCCAGCTTGCAGAGGCACTAAAATCAAGGGATGTAGTGGTCATGGGCGATTTTAATTACCCA